ATGTCTTATGGGGATTCGGTCTCAAAACTTCCAAAATCCGCCACCAGAGGCGCTGACGTCGCGCGCCATTGACAGGTTGTTGGACGGAATCTGTATCATGAGTTGGGGATTCCGCCGCTAGATGGCGCTGTCAAACCAAACGGAATCTGTGTGTCATTGGACACCTGTCATGCGTCATTGGGCATCTCACGCATAGATGGCGTTAAAACGTCATCTGTCATACGTCATTGGACACCTGTCATTGATGGGTTGGCATCTCGCGCATAAATGGCGCCGATTTGTTTGGCGCTGTACAAACCAAACGGAATCTATGTGTCATTGGACAGCTGCCATTGATGGGTTGGGCATCTCGCGCATAGATGGCGCCGATGCCGCATCTGTCTGGTGTTGGCGTGGATTACGGGGGGCAACGTGTATACAGGGTGCATCGACAAATAGCGGATCGATGGACCGACGGTATATCGTTAAATCGTATATAGCAAGGCAGTGACCTAAATAGCGTGGTGGGCTCCTCTGGTCGGTCGGTCGGTCGGTCAGAATGTCTCATAACCTGTATACGATGTACTGTTATTATTATACAGGATGATACCGTTCAAAATGAAAATAGTATAGACATTCTGACAATTATTTCGCAAACCAGAGGTATTTTCAATAAAACTACAATAATACGTTTAATATTTTATTGAAAATAGAAAAAAACTACATAGGTAATATGATATTTGAAAACCAGTGGCGTAGACGTTCAACATTTCTCTGGGTACAGGAAAATTGTCCGTTGGTGTGGCATGGATTGGAATCAGCAACAAAGTTTCCAGTAGCACACGGTGTACCATCATACTTGCAAACATCAATAATGTTGGGAAAAACACCAAAAATGTGACATTTTTTGAGTAAAAAGTTTGCTTTCTGTTCTCCACGAACGTAGACATAGTCAGCCGCATATATCACCTTATTTTTAATTATTTCATTTAACTTGGAATATTTAACGTCGCCGGAAGAATATTTAAGCCCATGGAAATTCTTCTCCAAGTAAGCGACAGTTTTCTTGTCTTTAGTATTTAATGTAGAAAAAGGTTGCGGAGGTGTAAAGATGTAATGACTTTTCTTGAAACCAATTTCGATACATAGTTCTTTAGGTACGAATAATCCGTCAACTGTAAAGCCTTGAATGTCAACAAACGCGATCCTCATGATGTCTGATGCGGAACTGAGAGTCCTTCGTTGCTTACGAGATGGTTTTAATAACTTCGGTGAGGGGGAAGTACTCGATTAAGCAGTCATGTATAATGATGCAGTAGGCCTTGGTGTTGGTTGGAAAGCCAGTATCGGCTTCGATATCCAATCTAACATCAACAGTTGATGATTTCATGGTTTCCTCTTGTTTGGAACAGTCAATAACAAACAAAGCGCGATTTTTAAAAGCGGTATAATCTAAAAGACATCTCTTCAGAGGAGAAGAAGAAGTTGTATAGCTGGTTTGAAAGTCGCTATAGTTGAAATGAGCTTCAGTAAAGTGATTGTTTGCAAAGTCCAATTGCATACGTTCGTTGGGATAGTATTCACCATTTAAAGATACTCGAATACTAGCAGCATTCACGTGATCAAACAGGGTAGGGTCTGAGGTTGCGACGTCACGTTTACCGGTTTGGAAACATACTATAATGAAACGTGGTCTTTCGATTGCGGTGCTAGTTTTAACTGACCATATTTCTCTTCTCGCATCTGCGGTAATTGCAGGCAGTTCATTCAGATCCCATTTTCTAAACGGTATAAGTATCGGCTTATCAGTTTGAATAGCTTTCAAAAGTTGTTCTTTCACATCATCACTCGGGTAAATATGTTTGATTTTCAGTTCCATGCTTTCAATAGTTATTTTCGCTGTCGTCGCCGTCGTCGTCGTTCCAGTTTTTTCCTTGATAATGATACAATCGTTATCGTTTCTAGCTCTCACAAATCTGAGAGTTTGTCTGCCACACGTAATCATAGGATAATCATTGAAAATGTTGAAAATATGTTTAAGCGGCATTAGCAAGCTAAAAGACTTGTTATGTGTTGACGCCATTATAGGTGTTGAAGGATAGTTCCATCCAGCTATAGCCATATGATTTGAGTCTTCCTCACTGTAACATACGTAAGCTCGGACAGTACTTACAATACCAGGATCACGTACTGTTTCAACTTCTCTAGCGGATTCACTGTAAGTGCAAGAGTCAAATAGGAAGGCACCAAAGTTTGGAGCTAAAGATACATCTCCTGCTCCTCCTCCAGTTATTTCAACTTTCCTTTGATAGATAGAAGGGAAGCGTTCATTGCAAAGAACGAATCTACTTGATTGATGCTAAATTCCACAACATCATTACAATTAAATGACTTGATGAACGGCGTATAAGATCTATACTCAGCCTTGCGAATAGATTCATCGAATGCTGGAGATCGATATAGATCAAACATCGGAGAAGTATGTGATGCTGCTGCTGCTACCTCCTCAGTTTTTCTCTTTTTGTACATGATTCTTGTTGTTGTTGACATGATATCCAAGTGAGCGTAGAAACAGGATATTTGATGTAGTTAGTAGTAGATGTCGTCGCTTAGGTGCTTGGGGTAATACTGAAGTTGCCTTGGAAGCACCACTATGTCTTATAATCACTAATCCCATCTGCGCTTCGCTCTCAACTCCAACACAAGAGTACTAGTTTCACCTTGAAAGTTTACAGGACGACCGTCTTGATCTAAAGCCAACACTGTGATGTTGGTTATTTCTTGTTTCGGTATAACAGGTAGATATAGTAAATTTACAGGTGTTTCGACTATAGCGTATCCAGGATCGGCTGTCACAGCAAATTCGTAGATCGTGTGTGCAGGCGTGTCTCCGTCAAAGGCTCCCGACGTAATGTTAGCATCAAAGTGTATGGTTGATACTTTTATTATGTTTACAGGTAAATCAGAAGAATGCTTTTGACCAGGATTAAGAACTTTTTTCGAGAATCCCAATAGATGACCAAGATTATTCGGTTCTGTAAAAACTATTTTATAATACTTGCTAAAGATTTCACATTGCAGTGTATTATTGTTAGGTTTTAGAGAAAAATAATCATCCGGAGGAGCAACTTCATTTTCAAGATTCATTTGCGTTCGTATAAATGTTTCTATGTCGGTAATTTCATAACAACCTGTCGGAAACTCGATGACTTTTAATTGACCACCTATCCTGTCGATATAATAAAATTTATCTCCTTTTTCAATATTCGGTATGGAATTGTATGAAGTAAAAGACCTAAGCGCCAATTCATAATCTTTTTTCGGATCCAACACTATCGGTGTTGAAGGACGAAATGAAAATATATGAGTAGTGCTATTGACTCTCAACAACTGCGACATGATGAATGAAAAAATATAGCTGTGTACTAAGCATTTATTCAAGTTTTTTTTTTGTTTATTTTCGAATGGATAATTTACAGAAATAACAATTTGCTTGAGCAGTAGCCGGTCCATCCCAATGTGTTGTCCAATCAGGTCTGTTGTAGTGAACATAGCATGGAAGTCGTATTTGAAGATCAAAATTGGATGTGTATTCTGCAGGCAGTTTGTGCCATATACTCAACAATTCTGCAGGTCTCACATTGCTTATTAAATATTCCAGCGGCGGAATATTCTTCTCAAACTCTTCTAATGTAAATTCCGATAATGTTTTATTATCCATCGTTGTTGTTGTTATTGTTATTGTATAGAAATTTCAAACACAATTGTCCGCAATTAACTTGATTATAAGTTTGGTAAGGATCGTTGTTGTAGAAAATTTTAGCGTTTTTCAGATATCGAACAAGTTCCTGTGGAGGCTTCAGGTTACCAAATGAATCGAAATACTCAACGTTG